TAGTTCCATTTTCTCTCTCTAAAGTCATCAATGGCGCCCAAGGCGGAGAAGAAGCCAGCAGAGAAGAAGCCAGCCGCTGATAAAGAGGAGAAGAAGGTTGCAGAGAAAGCCCCTGCTGAGAAGAAGCCCAAGGCCGAGAAACGCCTCCCTACGAAAGAGGGGGGAGCTTCTGATAAGAAGAAGAAGAGGTCAAAGAAGAGCATTGAGACCTACAAGATCTATATCTTCAAGGTCTTGAAGCAGGTTCACCCTGATATTGGTATCTCCTCTAAGGCCATGGGCATCATGAACAGCTTCATCAATGACATTTTTGAGAAGCTTGCTCAGGAGGCCTCGAGGCTTGCTCGCTACAATAAGAAGCCCACTATCACTTCCAGGGAGATTCAGACTTCTGTACGTTTGGTTCTTCCTGGTGAGCTTGCTAAGCATGCCGTTTCAGAGGGTACCAAGGCTGTTACCAAATTCACTAGCTCTTAGAAATTGGGTTAATTTGAATTCTAGGGTCTCTCTCTCTAGATGGTTCTCTCTTTGTTCCTTTACATTTAGGTTTGGTTTCTTTGGAAGGTATATGATGGGTTTTGTTGGTGTTTAGTTTTACTCTGATCTGTATATGGAGATCATGGCTCTTTCCTTTTTGATGGATTGTAAAGATCTGATGATGTTTGACAATGAACACGGTGATGTTATTTGACGGATCAATTACTTGTGGATTTTTTTTTTAATTTTCTGTATTGCATTTCTACTTCTTTCCTGAATTCTGTGAATTACGATATAATGTCTCCTCACCTCTCTGAGATCAGAATTCATTATCTCCATGAATTTTAGAAAGGTTTAGAATTCATTATCTCTCTGAATTTTAGAAAGGTTAATAATACCTGCTTTTATTTTATTTCCTGTTGTGACAAATAGATGTGTATTGAATTCCTGGTTTCATTTGATTGAATGAAGTGTTGCCAATTTAAAGTCTCTCTCTCTCTGCACCACCGCCACATTCCCCTTTGCTTTCAGCTCACCCTTTCCAATTTCTCTCCCCCAAAACTTCTTGTTATAGACTTTTTCTTCCCATTCACCAAAAAAAACCAAGTGCTTTCTTAAACCTCTTTAAAAGCTACTGTTCTTTACTCATTTAAAGTATAAAATCCCTTCTGAAGTAGCCCTTTTGCCATAAACAAGTAAAAGGTGCTTTGCAAGTATTTAACTTCACTTTAAGAATTCATTCTGGAACATATGAGAAATCTTTTTTGCTTTGGAGATTAGGGAGTAGACATTACTTCTGCTTATCTAAGAAGAAGCCATTGATTTCTTTGACGAAATGGTGGATTTGTGTTGAACGTGATGTGCCCATGTTTAATTCCTTCATTAATGGTGGTGTTGTGAATAAGTGCAAACTTTTATGTTGTTCCTTGAAATTTGTAAAAAAGTAGCCTAGTCCAGGTGTTTCCAACAGCTTAAACCTCCAATTCCTCTAATAGTGAAGCTGCCGACCTGTGGGCTTGTACCCATGATGTAATTGCTGAGCATGTGTACAGCAGTAATGTGGGAATTAATACTGGAGAGAGATGTGGATGAGGCTCAGAGAAAATTGAAGGAATTGGCATTCCTATTTGGCCCGCTTAAACTGTAAATCTCTTTGTTTGTGGCCTTTTCAAGTGAGGTGGGGAGGATAATGTTCTGAAACTAACTCACCGATCACTGGCCTGTATGGTACAGATCTGGGAATGCCAAATTTATTCTTGACCATCAAAAAATAAGGGCATTTACAGAGGTGGGATAACCAGATGTGTTCTTGTGACATTAAGAAGAAAACTTCTAAAGGCTGAATCAGCATGTTTGGGCTTCCTGACAAATAACAACTGTTCAAACTCTTGACCTCCCTCAACTACCAAGCTGAAGTCTAAGGAAGTGTGTTCTTGAGATATTGGAGTTTATAAATCACTGATTTCCAGGCTCTGTAAATTTGGGAGAGCCCTAGAAGCCATGGTAGTAGTTAATCTTAGTGAGATGGAGCCAGGATGTAAACCCATTATATCTTCACTCATTAGTATAGTGTGTGAACTGTGAAGAGAAGAAGCTTGAAGTAGCCATCAAAACAGCAATTGAGTTATCAGCAATTGTTCAGCGATCTAGAGAATGGGCTCTGTTGGGGAACAGAGCCAATTGGATTGGAGAAGCTGTTGATTTCTTAAGAGAGGTTGTCTTTTTTTTTTTTAGATTTACAATGGTGGTGGTTGAATATAGACCTATAAAGTTTTGGATCTAAAATCCATGTCTAAAATGAATATAGAAGGTTTAGCCGCAACACGATAACCCTGTCACAAAGATGCTTGAAACCTTGTTCAGGAGTGTTTTGAAAATGGGCTTGGCGAGGTACTTACCCATGGCCCAAGCTGAGTTATTTGGGTGATTCCAAATCACACTAAATTTCAATGGATTTGGATGAAAAAATGAGAGAAATCTATTTTTAGGTGGATTGGTTTAAAATACCGTTTCTTTTCCCCTAGAAATCGATGAATAAATCCTAGATTCTCAATCCAAATCGGTTGAAGATAGATGAAATGGATGAAGAAAAGGGAATAATATAGGTTATAAGTGACCACCATGTATACACTAGACTTGGACTTAATTTGCCTTGTCATAGGGTGAGGCCTTAATTTGCCTTGTCATAGGGTGAGGCCGAGTAACTCGGCCAAGTCCACTCGGACTCTACTGAGTCCTGAAATATTTTTTGTTTATTTTTTATTTGAAAAAGTGAACCATGATTTCATTGAGTTAATGAAAGAAGTAAAAATTTCGTTGAGTTCATGAAAGAGGTACGAAACGTCAGAAGAGGAGAGGAGACTAAAGTAAAAGAGTGGAAGAGAAAAGAAAAGGAGAGCAGGAGGGCAAAGAAGAGGAGAATGAGGGGGACAAGGTAAGTCCTCGTGCCCTTGCAGACTTGCCAATCGGGCTAAATCAACTACTTTTACGTTTCTCTATGTGAATGTGCTGGAAACTAACCTCTTGACCATTTAGAGCATGCAAAATTTCATTCATGGTTTGTTTAAACTCCCCATGGTACCGAGGGTGGTTTGTTTAAACTCCCCATGGTTTGTTTAAACTCCCCATGGTACCGAGGGTGGTTCCCTTCATCAATAATTCTTTTGTGTTCATTGGACAACTGAAGAATGCCCCGTTTAAGATTATCGATTCAGCATAAATAGCCTCACAACCATTCGACGAACCTTGGTAGTTCCAAATTGTAAAACCTTGAGAGTCTCTAAGAAGGGCTCCTTAGCCTGCTGTGCCTGTTTCCTTCCTTGCACTTGCATCAAAATTTAGCTTTACCCATATTCCTTAGGAGGAGGGATCCAAATTAATAGCTTTGCCACATTTTGGTTTTTTGAATTTAAGTTGGTCTTTGAAGTTTGTATGAAGGTACGCCACTTGTAGATCCTGCAAGTCCTTCAAAGCATGAACCCAGGAGATTATGGAAGTAGAGATAGTTCACTTGAGTTTCATTATATCATGAGAAAGGCCCGCGAAAACCCTGCTATTTCTCTCTTTCCAAATATGCCAAATGACTGCTGAAAAAGCTATCCTCAGAGTGATCCCATCTTAGAGAGAGGTGATTTAAGTTGGCTAACCATTGCAGCTACTGTTTTTGGGGTTATCCAATATCATTGGGATATGGCTTTTGACCAATCCCAGTTGAAGGTAGCTGTATAGCAGTGCAAAAGCAAATGGTCATTGGTTTCCTCTTGTTCTCTACTATTCACATATTAACTAATGGGAAAGCTTTTTATGTTCTCCCTGCAGCGTAGAAGTTCTATCCTCCCCTTACCCCATCCAGCCGTCTTTTTTTGATCAAGAGAGTTTTTTTTTTTGATCAAGAGAGCCATTCACCATTTGATCTTAGATCTGACATCTC